CCTGTCCCCACACTCATGTCCCTCGAGAGTGATCATTCACAATCTGAATTAGATTTGCCACATCCCTGCTAACAATCCTCGCATGACTCCCCATCCCATAAGAAGAGCCAGACGCTCACCCTGGCCTACTTTGCACCACGTGATCTAGGCCCGCCTACCCCTGCGAATCCTCCCACTCTCACTTCACTTACCACAAGGCCCTTTACACACCCCAGCTGCCCTCTGACTCCTCAAACTTATACCACTTGCCCCTGCCCCAGGAACTCCAGCCTTGTTTTGTCCTTGCTGTGCCTTCTGTGTGGAATGTGCTTCTACATGAATTTTGAGCGACAGCCTCCTTCCTGTTCATTAGATCTCAGTTTAACTGTCACCTCCTTACAGAGGTTTTCCTCAACCACTGGATCTTAAATAACCACCCAGTCACTCTCTATCAATGAAAATGAATTTAATTCTCTGCACATTATCATGTGCCATTTTCTCTTTTAAAACTATTTCTTATTTTGTTGTTTGTCATCTACCTCCCCTATTAAAATGTAAGTTCTATACAGAAACTTGCCTTGTTGCCTGATCTATTTCCCAGTGCCAAGAACAGTGCCTGGTACATAGGAGAAACTCCATAAATACTTGTATTTATTGAATAATATGGATACCTTGCTTTTATTTCTTACTTTTGTTTGTATGACCGAGCCCACCAGGTGGTCAAGATGGTACAGTCCAACTGAGAAATGCATGGGGCTCTCTCTATTATGATTTGCAGCAAAAGAACCCTCAGCTGCTACCCTGTATGGAACACCTGGCCTGATAGCAGACTCCTGACAGCAGCTTTAGATAAGGCCTTAACAGTGACGAAGAAATTCCTCCCTCTTTCCTCTGAAAAGCCCCCAGAGTGTTAAAGATACCATAGCTTAGGTCTTTGGTGACTGGCCAGGCAATAATGCCTTTGACTTTTAGGCAACAATACCCACCTCTGATCAATCCAAGCAAATGTTTCACCTTCAAAATAGTGATCTTGGAAGATGAAACTTTTCCTAATAGTATTGCCAAGGCTCAAGACAGTTGTGGAAATCCTTCTAAAGTTAACAGTCCATGTGTCTCAACTCATGTGTGGCCAACTCTAACTTAGTGCCCAACTTCAAGTGCTCATGCTATGTAAGGTAGGGATGAATTATCACTTCCATTTTACAGGTGGGGAAACTAAGTCTCAGAGAAGTTAAAGGACTTGCTCTAGATCTGATGATCCTGAGTCTCTCATTCCATGAGTACATTCAACTGTGTCTGATTTTCAGAAATGACCAAATGTCACTTGAATCTAAGTAAAGCAAATTAAGTAGATTCTTAAGTCTGGGTAATAGAGTTTCTGATGAGTAAATCTCTACAAGATCTAGAAGAGGACCTAGAGATTATCCAGGCTGAAGATACAACTTCAGAAAATCACATAGGTCCTCATGATCCCACTCTTCGGCTTTTGTTTGTTTTAGGCAGATCCATTTCATGCTAGACAAAGAAACCTATTTCAACCTCTGTTGTACACACCTGGCACAGAGAGGGAACAGAGCTGAAAAACCAGCTATTCAAATCTCTGCCTCTCTGCCAAGATGGCTTAAAGGTAGAAACTGGCTGTGTTAGTGTGTTTCAAGGAAGCATATTCTTCCATTTTTACCTTAATGAGAAATAAAGGAGGAGAGGGAGCATCTCTTTGCTTTAGAAAATAACATCAATCCATTAGAAAACGTACTAGGTAATTACTATATCAGATGAGTATAAAGACCTGGAGAAGCCAGTCGTGTCCCCTGGTGGCTATTATGCTGTGGAGAGTGGCATCTGCACCATTTATAACTGTAGCATACAAATTGGCACAGGGAGAAGCCCAGCAACAATCTGTTCCAGGTAGACCAGATGTCTTGAAGGGAGGCTGTCTCTCTGCAAGTAAACATAATGCCTATTTCCTGTCACTTTCACTGTTGAATAACTAGCTATTTGGTTTCAACAGTAATTCTTGATTAATAGGGTAATCTTTTTAAAAGGGCGTCCCAACTGTTCTGTTCTCAGAAGAAAGCACTTCTGCAAAGGCATTCCTTTATCTCCCTTTCCAGATCAAGAGCTGGTCTTGTGTCACCACAAATTGGCTGGGAGATGAGGGAAGGAGTCGGCAGCTACTCTCTTGGGGAAGGGTAGAAAGGGTGAAGGGGAGAAACAACTGAAGAGTATGAGAGGGCCTTCATTGCCATCATTGGCAATCCAATGGAGGATGAAGGATGCTGGGGAAGGAGAGTGGTGGGGAGAGAGACAAACATTAGCCATGAGGTCACAGAGGCATCAATACTCTCCAGGGATGCTTGACCACCTTTGGTTTGGCTGTGAATCTAATGAGCATAAAACTCATGCATTCAGCAAATATTTGTTAAGGTCCTTCTACATCCAGGGAACTGTTCTAGGCATTTGGGATCCACTGGTGAAAAACAAAAACAGCAACAAAACAAAACAAAGATCCCTGCCCTTGTGAAGCTTTCATTCCAGTGGGAAATTCAGACAAGAAATGATAAAGATAAAATAAATTATATAGTGTGCTAGTGGGCGATAAGTGCTATGGAAACAAGGAAAAAATAAATAAAACAGTTAATGAGGACTTAGAGTCCAGGGCATGAGGGCCTTGCAATTTTAAACAGGCTTTTCATAGGCTTTTTGGAAATGATACTAGTGCGAAGACTAGACAGGAGAAGGGGCTGGCCGTGCAAATACCTGGGGAAGAGCATTCCAGCCGAGGGAACAACCATTGCCGTGAGCCTGCAGTGGGAAGATACCTGCAGAGTTTGAAGAACTTCAAGGAGGCCAGTGTTGCTGGAGCCCAGTGAGAGTGTGTGGGATTGGCGGGTGAGCACCAAGAGATGAGTCAAAGAGTTCAAGGGCCAAGGCACCTAGGGCCGTGCTGGTCATTGCAGGAGTAAGACTTTAGCTCGAAAGAGAATGAAGAGCTTTGGAAGAGTTTGGATCAGACAAGTAACCTTATCTGACCCTCATTAAAAAAAAAAAAATCTCTTTGTTACATTGAGAATAGATTATGCCATAAAAATAAAAGATTTCCCTTTTTTAAACATATTGCCTTAGATATATGACAGGGTTGCTATAAGACTCAAATGCAATAGTATTTCAAAAATTATAAAGCATAGTGCAGACCCAAACTACAATTATTTTACTCAAACAATAGGGGGTTCAAAAGCCAAGGTCCCCTTTGCCTCATCTGATCCATGAGTAGTTAACCACGTTCATGAAATTCCACTAGTCTGTCTACAAGAAGCTAAATGAAAATTCTATTTATTCCAAAAAATGTAATTTTATGCCTGAATTTTAAATATTCAGATTTTGTAGATTGCTACTTATTTTAGTTTAATCTTTGAAAGTAATGCCTTAAAAAAAAAAAACATGGAAGTACTAGGCTTGAATACTGAAGACTTTAAATATAACAACAGACCAGGATAGGAGCAGAAGTCTGGGAACTTCAAACCTATTTCCTTTTCCTTAATCCCGTTGGAGAGCTAGACGCACTGGCTCGATCCTCCAACATTTCGGGGGTGGTATCTTTTCTTTGCGGTGGCCCTGCTGCCGGGTGGGAGAACACACACTTCGTGAGGCCAGCTGACCTTCACAGGGTCTGGAGAGAAATTTTAAAGGATTTTGGAGAAGATGCGTTGAGACTCCAAGAGAAAGAAGAAGAAAAGGGGGCCCCAAGAAGCCTGAGCCTTCCGGGGGGTAGAACTGAGTTCATCAACAGGGGTTGATGATCCAAGGTAGTTATGTAAAAGAGAAGGCTGGGAGTTCCAAATGGCTGCAACTTGGAGTTTACTCTGCCTAAGGTGAGTGTTTGCTTCTGTGTTTTGGGTTTTGGTTTTCATTCCCTCCTGCACCCACCGCTCAATCTGAAAAAGCAGATCGCTCTGCTTTGCCAGCCCTCGGTTCTCATCCCTTATCTTCCTTTAGATTCCGAGCCCGGTTCCAATCAGCCTCCGCACCACTGGCTCCCGGGACCCTCAGCTCAATCTCCCCCTAGTAAGGAGCAGCTGTGTTTATCCCCCCACTCCCCCCCATGCCTCCCGTTCTTAGTTCTTATTTCGCCAACGCTCCCTCCACAGACACACCTTCGCAGCCAGCCCAGCTGTCACGTCTCGCCCCAGCGGTTCGGGGGAAGCAGTGGGAACTCTGCGCTCGCCAGATCGAGCCCGCCGCGCTGGGCATCTCCCTTCCTTTCCCCTCCACAAACGATCCAGCCTCAATCATCCCTGCTCCTTCCCGATCCTAGTTTTGTTTACGGAACAAACCAAGGCTTGGGGCAACCTGCGGTGGCATGGCTCTCCTTCGGGTTGGGGAGGGAGGGGGGTAGCGTTCACAGTGCCTTGTGCCAGAGACTGTGAGACCAGATCCGAAAGAGGCACACGCAGCGGGTGACAGGAGAGTGCCCCCTCCTCCCCCGGGCGGGTGGGGGTGGGGAGGGAAGAAGGGACTCGGCTTGGGGAAGGAGGCAGGAGGCAGCTGCAGTGCTGCGAGGGGTGCGTGCGCCTGTGCCGAGCTCGCCCGCCGCCTCCCGGCTCAGTCTGCGCTCCTCGGCGCGCGGGGCACGCGGGCCGAGGGCTGGGGAGCCGGAGCAGCA